GTGGGAGACCATCTGCTCCAGCAAGGCAAGGACTGACCTCCCCCCAACCCATTTTCTGATACATACACTTTCTGTCAATTTCTCATTTTGCTTGTTGGTTGGTTTCTTTGGCCACATCTGGCTGTAACTCATGGCTTTCTCCTTATTCCTGCACTCAGGGATCACTCCTGATGGGGCTCAGGAGACCCTATGGGGTCCCAGGAATTGAACCTGGGTCACGCATATGTGGGGCAAGGGTCCTCTTGATTGTATTATCTCTCTGGACACCAAGTTTTGAGTGTGTCTTTGCCCCTGAAACAATCTGGAATCTAACAGAAAGGATAAGAAGCTCCAAGGATGTGTCCAGGAACCATGCAGCTACTGGGAAGGCAACAGCACAAGTAAGAAGTTAATTAAATGGGCTGGAGTTACAGTGCAGTGGATAGAACCTGGGTTCTCCCCTCAGCATCCTGTGTTACTTGAGCCCACCAGGAGTAATTCCTGAGAACAGAGCCAGAAGTAACCCCTTAGCATCGCCGGGGTTATGGTGATGGACTGGTGTGGTCCCAAAACCAAACCAAACCAAAACAAAAAACAGCAACAACAACAACAAGAAGTTCCCTTCAGGATAGTGGATAATATCTGTCCAGCTGGACTTGGGGGTCCAGGAGTGCTGTCAGCTGGGCTTCCCCTCCCCTCTCCTTTCTATTTATTGGGTTTTGGGGTTTTTCTATTTCTTTCCACTATGCTTTGGGGTTCTATATTGGGACAGACAACTTACCTTTCCCTTTGACATTGAGGCCATCCCCAGGGACCCATCCCACAGTTTGTGCGTGTGTGTGTAGGGGGGTGGGGGGGCAGCAAGGCCATATCAAGGATTGAACTTGACCTTCAATAAGCTGGGCTTGTGCTCTAACCCTACAGTATCTCTCTGGCCCCAGACAACTCGTCTATAGGTCATAGGTCCCTGGACAAAGACAAACACAAGGATTGGTTTCTCCTCTGCTGGCCTGGGCAGGGGACAGGACCCAAAGGGCTTCAGCCTCCATACCAGCACTGCACAGCCCCCAGAACTGCATGGCCCCCAAGCACGGCACGACCCCCAGCGCTGCACAGCCCTCAACACTGCACAGTCAACAATACTGCATGGCCTCCAGCATTGCATGGCCCCCAGCACTGCATGCCCCCGGCACTGCACAGTTCCGAACACTGCATGGCCCCTGGTACTGCACAGTCCCCAGCACTTCATAGTCTGGAGCGCTGCACGGTCCCTAGCACTGCATGGTTCTGAGCACTGGTGGGTGTAGCTTGGGCATCCCATGAACTCCACGAGGAGTTGCTTGAGGCTGCTGGGTACTTCCGGGGAGCCACCACTTCTGTAATAACTAATCTAGTAAGAGCCAGCCCGCTGAGTCCCTGGTAAAAGACCTGAGCCCTGAACAGGGCCCCTACAGAAGCTCCCTCACTTGAGCCTTTTCAACCTCACACTTCAGCCTCCCCGCCTCTGCTCTCAAGAACCAGTGTGGGGACCAGATGCTGTATGTGTGAGGATCAGCTGTAGCCATGCACTCCCAGCTCTCTGCAGGAGCCACCAGCCTAGGTGCCCGTAGGAAAGGCCCAGAAAGGAAAAGTGGAGACTGATGGGGTGTGGGTCATCCTGCTGGCTCGGTCTGTTCCAAGGGCCTGAGGTCAGGGTCAATAGCTCCTGGGACTGGGGCCAGAGTGATCGAACAGCAAGTAGGGAGCTGGCCTTGCACATGGCCAACCTGGCTTTGATATCTGACACATTCCCCTTACACACTCCCCAGCAGGAGTGACTCCCGAGTTCAGAGCCAAGAGTGAGCCCTGCATTGGCAGGGTAGCTCCTGGGAATTTGCTGGATTCTGCACCAACCACAGCCTGGCTGGGGGTCTTCTCTCTGTCTCTTCTGCTGGGAACAGAACTTGGTACTAGGCGCAGGCAAGACACTTGCTCCCCTGAATCCCTGATGATTTATTCCATCCCCCAGTGTTTTTCTCCCATAATTTTGTTTGTTTCATTATTTGATCAATGAACACTCTGGACGACCCTTAATTTTAAAAATTATTCTTTTATGGGGTGTAGTAACACATGATAGCACTTTTTGGTGCTCCTGGCTCTGTGCTCAGGGCTTGTTCCCTGCAGTGCACGGGGAGGAGGCTCAGGTTGAACCCTGACCTTTGGCCTAAACACGTGCTCACACAGATGAGCTCCCTCTGGTTCTGGCTGTTTCTTTCAGTTTCGGTTTTGTTTTTGTGGGGGAACCACGCCTGGCAGTGTTTGGACTTACTCCTGGCGCTGCGCTCAGGGGTCACTCCTGGTGGGTCTCAAGGGTTCATATGGGGTGCTAGGGATCAAACCCAGGTCGGCCTCACCTGCTGTTCTGTTTCCCAGCTGATTCTAGATGCCCTCTCCATGGATTTTGGAACTTCACTTACGGAAGCTAGTGATTCACCTTTATATTGTATTCTCATCTGTTCCCTCCAAGTACTTTTTTAGAAAAAAAAATCTACCCAGGGGCCAACTCAGCACAACACCCAGCACCCCCCATTCCACCTGTATTCAGAGCTGCCTCGTGCTTCCCATTTCAGAACCTTCTGGAGCTTCCCAGTTGTGTCCTTGGCTCACTATCTTGGCTCATAGTTTGCTCAGGTCCACTGGGTACTGGGGCTTCAAAACTCACACATGGTGGCTTTCTTCCTTTGGTCTTCCCCAGCCCTGCCCAATTCCAACAAACATGCTCTTATGGTAGGACGATCCCGAAGGGACGGGGTCATGCAGCCCCCCACCCCTTCTGCAGCTTCACTCAATGTTGTCCACACCCCCTTTACTCTCCAGCCCCAGCTTTAGACCCCCCAGTTTTTCCTTTCTCTTCTCCTTCATGTGAGCTACCTACCTCATTTTCCACCCCTCCTCTCATCCCTCCCTTATACCGGAACCACTTCTGTCAAAATTCCACCAGAAGGGGCCAGGGTGATAGTATAGTGGGTATGGCGCTTGCTTTACAAGCAGCCAACTCGGCTTCGATCCCTGAGACCCATCAAGAGTGCCCCTGAATGCAGTCAGTAAGCCCCAAGCACCACTGGGTGTGGCCCAAAAGCCAAAACCAAATTCGTTGGGAGCAAGGGCAATGGAGATGTGTCTTTCCAAGGCAAAGAACTTTATCTCCGCGGTGGAGAGAGAGCATGGGGCAAAGACAGGTGTGACTGGCCCTCGGCCCATTCCTGGCGCTAAATGATCCTAGGAGCCCCATACCGCCGCCCCCCACCCCCCAACAGCACAGAGCAGGGACTAAGCCTGGAGAAATTGCTAAGGCAGAGGGTCCTGGCCACAGCTACCTTCCTGGGCAGGTCGTGGACGCCTTGCGGTGGGGGTGGGAAGTGTCCATGCAGAGGCCCCTCAGTCATCACCTGCTACCTCGGATGGGGAGACTCAGCAGACAGTATGAGGGGGGTTGGGGGAAGTCTGCAGAAGCTGGGCAGGGTCCGGCAGGCTGGAGCACGGGAAGGTCCAGCTCCAGACACGTGGCCAGCGCTGGAGGCATATTCTGAGTCAGTGTTTGGTCAGATCACACTTCTCTGAAATGTCATAAACACAATCTGTGGCGGACGGGCAAGATCCTGCCCTGCAGGAGACCCTGGGAGTGGAGCCCACCAAGAGACAGAGGCAGACAGAGGGGCCCCTGGGTCGGTACACCACCCCCGCCCCAGGGCACCAGCTTCTCCGCGGGTGGGAAATCGAGGCTTTTCTGTCGCCTCCCAGGCGCTCACACACGTGCGTGCGGGGGGTGGGGGTGGGGGGGCCCGGAGCTCACGGATGGCTGAGAGTGGGAGTGTGTGAGTTGACGGTGGTGGTGTGGGGTGTTTCCCACCGGACCTGGCAACGCAGGGAAGAGAAGCAGCTCTGAATTAGGTGCTCGGATGCCTCGGCCCCACCCAACCTTCCTCTCGCTCCTCAGGGGCCATGGACCGTCTCCAGGACTCAGGCTACTGAGTTCGGACGCACGGCTCGCGAGAAGGGGCTCCGGGGGCGGCGGGGCAGGGCGCGGCGTGGGGAAGGAGGGTGGGGGCCGGGGCGCCCCCGAGAGTCAAGGGCAAGTCGGGGCGGGGAGAGCACGGGCCGGGCGCAGCGGAGCGTTTCCTCCGGGAGGCCCCGACAGCGGGTGGGTGGGGCGCGGTGGGCGGGGTCGCGGCCCTGGGGGCGCGGGGCGCCTCCCCGAGCGCGAGGGGTGGGGGGAGCGCGGTAGCCGCTGGGAGAAGTTGGCAGCCGGCCGGGGGCGGGAGGGGGGAGGAAGGGGCCCCGTGTTCCCGGAGCGCCGGCGCCGCCCGCCCCAGCACGTAGTTCAGTCCTGCGAGCGCAGGGGCGCGGCCAGGGCGCCCACCAGCACGGGCCCGACCCGGCCCGGACCTCCGGTTCTCGGAGCGCAGCCCCGCGGGGCGCGGAGAGGCCCGCAGCCCGGCGAACGGCCACGGCGGACACGCCTCCTTTCCGGGCGAACCTCGCGCTGGAAGGACTGAGCGCCGCGGAGACGCGCCCGGCCGGGGCGCACCCGCCCACCGCGCCCCTCGCGGGCGGGGCTGCGGGGACAAAGGGGCGCCGGGCGCACGCCGGCCTCCACCCCAGCAGGGTCGGCGACTCCGACGCCACAAAAGCTCCAGCAGGAAAAAAAAAAACGCCCCGCGGGGTCCCCCGCTGCGGGGGAGGGGGCGGGAGCGGCCCCCGGGGCCACGCCCCGGCCCGCCGCCCTCGGACGCCGTGCGTCATCGTGCCTGGCTCCCGACTCCGCCTCCCGCCCCGCCTCCGAGCGGCCGAGGGGACACGCCCATTGGAGCGCGCCAGTCCCGAGGCGTGGCAGGCTGCTCTGGTGGCTCTGATTGGCCTGGCGGTTCCCCTACGGACCAATGGAGTCCGGGGCTCCTTCAGGCCACGCCTCCAACTCCGCCTCCGCTCTCGGGCGCGGGCGCGCGACCCGCTTCAGGCCGCCGGTGCGCGCGCCGGGTCCCCGCCCCCCTCGGCGCGCGCAGCTCCCCGCGGCCGCCGCCGCCGCCTGTAACCTGCGCCGCCAGGATGTGGCTGGGGGCTGACGTCGGGTCCAGATGTGGCCCCGGCCCCGCCCACCCCTGGGGCCGGGCCGCCCACACCGAGCCGCGGCGCGCACGGCGGCGGTCCCGCCTGCCACAATGCGCGGCGAGGCTGCGGCCGTCCGGATCGTCGCCGTGGGGCATCCTTAGCACCGGCCGCCCGTGACGCGGCGCGCGGCGGACACTCACGCGCCCGCGCCCCCCATGCGCGCAGCCCCCCGCGGCCGGCCCGGCGGGCGCCTCGCCGACGCGGAGCCGCGCGGGTGACGGCAAAGGCGGCTGCGCGCCCGGCCCAGCCCGCGGAGAGGACGCGCCGCGCCCCCGCCCCCCGTCCGCTCCCGGGAGGAGGCCGCGCGCGGGTGCGGATGCGCCGCTGACGACTCGCCTGGCCGAGCAGTGTCGCCGGCCCCGCCGGCCCGCGCCCCCCGCAGCATGGCAGCCGCTGCCTACATCGACCACTTCGCGGCCGAGTGCCTCGTGTCCATGTCCACCCACGCGGTCGTGCACGGGCCGCGGGAGGGGCCGGAGCCCAGACCCGAGGGCGCGGCCGCCGCCGCCGCGGTCGCCGCCACGCTGCCCCGCGCCGACGAGCGCCGCGACGGCAAGGACAGCGGGTCGCTGTTCGTGGTGGCGCGGATCCTGGCGGAGCTCAACCAGCAAGCGCCGGCGGCCGGCCCAGCGGAGCGCAGGGAAGGCGCCGCGGCCCGCAAGGCGAGGACCCCTTGCCGCCTGCCGCCCGCGCCGCCCCCCGCGCCGGAGCCCGCGGAACCCGGAGCGCCCCGGAGCCCCGAGCACGGCGAGCCGGAGCCCGAGCTGGAGCCTGGGCCCGCGGGGGGCAGCGGCGAGCCCGGCCTCAGACAAAGGGGCCGGCGGGGCCGCAGTCGCGCCGACCTCGAGTCCCCGCCGAGGAAGCACAAGTGCCACTACGCGGGCTGCGAGAAAGTTTACGGGAAATCCTCGCACCTCAAGGCGCACCTGAGAACTCACACAGGTCAGTGGGGCGCCCCGGGCGCGCCGACGGGGACTCCGGCGCCCCCCGGCCCCCGCCCCGCGCGCGCGCCCCGGGGAGCAAGAGCCGGCGGGCCAGCGGCGATCGGGCCGAGTCGGGCCGGGCCTCGCCGGGCCTCGCCCCGCGCCCCCGGGCACTGCTGCGGTGCGGTGCGCCCCGCCAGGCGGGTCCCGGCGCTCCGAGCCGGCGCCCGCCCGGCGACCGCGCCCCCGTGGGCACGCCCCCTCCCCGGGCGCGCTCGGGCGGGGCCGCGGGGGCGGATGTCGTCATCGGGGCCCGGGGCGGGGACCCCGCGGGGGCCCGGGGGGCGGCGCGGGCAGGTGCGGGCGCGCGGGGCGTGGGGGGGTGGGGTCGGGGCGGCTGCGGGGGTCGCCGGTGCGTCTCGGTCTGTGCCCCGGCCGGGTCGGGCCGGGCCGGGTCGGGCCAGGCCTGGCTGGGCCGGGCGAAGTTCACGCGGGGACAGGACGCGCGCCCGGCCATTCGGCACATTCTTCGCTCTCGCCTTCCTGTAATTTTTCCAGCCGCTCTAAGGTTCAATTTGTCGAAACCGGAGCCAGAGGCGCGCGGCGCGGGGGCCGGTCCGGGTTGTCAGCCCGCCGGCGGCCCTTTGTGGGAGCCGCGCCCATCCGGCCGGCGGGGGCGCGCCCGCGCCCAGGGGGCTCCCCGGGACTGGGGGAGCGGCGCGCCCCGGAGCCCGGCCCGGCTCCGCGCGCTCGACGGCACCTGCGCGTGCCGGGCCCTTGCCCCCAGACCCTCCGGTGTCCCTCCCAACTGCCCCGTGCGTGGGCTAGGAGCTCTGAGCTGACTCGTGCCGGGCTTTCGGTGCTTTGGGCTCGTTCCTTAGATGCGAAGGCGAAGGTACAGAGACCGTTTCAGCGGGGGTGTGGGGAGGCGGGGTCCACCTTTCTCTACCCGACTCGTCGGTTCTTGCAATGTGCTCATGTGCATACTCGCCGCCTGTCCCCGAGATTCCAGACCCGAAAGTTGTCACCGTGTCACCTTATGCCCCGAGGCGCGCACGTGTGAAAGTTCATCGGCGGATGTAAAAGGCTCAGACACACCCGAGCCTTCCTGACCTAGAGGGACGCCTCCACCCCAACTCGTCCCTGCTAAGTGAAAGCTGAGAGCGTCCCCGGGCCCGCGGGTCCCCGAGGCTATCCCCTGGGAGCCCTTCCCGCGCTCAAAGACGTGGCCGCGCCTAACCACGTGGCAGTTGGTGGGACCATTCCTAGGACTTTCGGGGTGTGTGACCCCAGGAGAGGGGGGCACTGAAGGAGGGGTGTGGCCCAGCGCTCATAGGGGCGGGGCGGGCCAGGATCCACCCGGTAGATCCGGACCTGGGGCCGCGGCTGGGCTTGAAGGCCCCGCGCAGGCGTGCGGAGAGCGAGGGCGGGGAGCGGTTCTTGCACTTACTCGCTGCTGTACCACCCCGCAGCGGGGGCGGGGAGGTAGTGGTCGCGGATCGCGGCGGGGCGGAGCATGAGCCTTGGGCGCCAACCCGTTCCCCGCCCCACCCCCGTGGGGAGGTCGTCCGCGGACCCCTAGATCCTCACCCTGGATCACCCAGGGTGAGGACAGTAGCCAGGCGAACTGGACCCTACACAGCCGCGCCGGTGGGAGGGTCGAACCAAACTCGCTGAAGCAGGTTACCGGATCGCTGGCCGCGGGACCTGCCGCTTTCCAGGCGCCAGAGGCTGAGCCGTTGCCCCGCTGGCGACTGTGAGGAGGGAACACAAGGGGACCTGAGTCTCCCAGCACCTGCCCGTCGGAGAGGGGCCGGTCAGAGGCTCCTGGGCCTGAGGTTTGGTTTGTGAGTCCCCAGGCACTTTGCAAGTCAGCCAGAGGCTCCGAAAATACCCGATGCGGTGGGCTGAGCTCCCATGCGCCCTCTAGTCTGGGGGTGGCCAGAGAGTGGTTCTCGGACCTTGGCTGACCCCAGCCTCCACCTGAGATTGGGCATTGACTCAGGCTCTCTCCCGGCACCTGTGCTGCTGCTGGTTCTGTGCACTCAGCACAGTAAGACCTGGCTTCACCAGGAGGGCGACAGTTAGGTTTCCGGGCACCTGGGAAGGCTCAGGAACACAAGCTGCTTGTGTGTGTGTGTGCATGTGTATGTGTGACTGTGTGAATGTGTGTGGGTGTGTGAAAATGTGTGTATGTGGGTGTGTGAATGTGAGAATTTGTGGGAGTGTGTGTGGGTGAGAATGTGAGTGTGAGTGGGTGTGTGAATATGAGTGTGTGAACGTGTGTATATTTGGGTGGGTGTGAATGTGTGTGAATATGTGTATATATGTGTGAATGTGTTTATGTCGGTGTGGATGTGTGTTTGAATGTGTGAGTGTGGGAGGTGTATGGGAGGTGTGAGAGTGAATATGTGTGTATGTGTATGTATGTGGGTGGGTGTGAGTGTGTGTGAATGTGTGAGTGTGAGTGCTAGTGCGTGTATGTGATGTGGAGTGTGTACATATGTGCGTGGTATGTGTATGTGGGTGTGTGTGTGATTGGGGGTATGTGCATGTGTGACTGTATGTGTGAGACCATGTGTATGTTTGTGGCAGTATGCGTGGGTGTGTATGCATGTGGAGGTGTGACTGTGTGAGAGCATGCGTATGTGGTGTGCATGTGTGGGTATGTTCATGTATGGATATGTGAGTGTCTCTGTTGGGGGTGTGGGTGTATGTGTGGGCATGTGAGTGTATGTGATGTGTATGTGTGTGCATGTGTGTCTGGGTGTGTGAGTGGCACTGTAGATGTCTGAGAGGGAGCATGTCCTTGGGGGGGCGTACACTCAAGATGTGGCGGGGGATCCCGGTTTCCTGCCTGCTGGTTAGCTGTGGGTGGTCACCCTGGGCCGTGTGTCACATTTAGGTCAGCGCCGCTGCTCAGCAAATGCTGCCTAGAACAAAGGCCCCCGACGATTCTGTGTTGCTTGATGCTCCACGAGGCCAAGGCTGGTGCAGGCCTCCTGCTGCCCCACCTAACCTGGGAGTGCCCCTTTTGTGGGGCGCTGACCACGAACAGTGGCTGCATGGGAGCTTTTGAGGCTCCAAGAAGGCAAGTGTGTGTAGGGGTCGCAGCTGGTATCCACATGCCCATGCCTGATCCCTGAGACCAGAGCCCGCGGGGCGCCCGCTGCCCAGGGCAGGCCATGTGTGTGGACAGAGGCCTGTCTCTGATTGCTCTGCGTGTATCACGGTATCTGGCTCCCAGTCCAGGGGTCCAAGCCTCTGCCCACAGTGGCCCAACCACCCCTCGAGCCGACCCTGCTACCCTAGACTGATTTGGAGTCCTGGAGATGCCATTTCCTGCAGTCGTTGGGGTGGGGTGAGTCTTTTCTCCCGGAGCTGGGGCGTGACTGTGGGGTCCCCGCCCCTTGCGGGAGCTCCGGGTTTCCCAGCAGGTGCTCCCGCCCTGCTGCCCAGGCTCGGGGTAGAGCCAGGCTGGCAGAGGGCCAGCGCTTTGTCCCGGACACATCCAGGCCACCCTGCCAGCGGCTCCCGCCCCTGCTCCCCCATACGCCTGACCGCCAGGGTTGTGAAACTCCTCAAACAATGCAGAAGTGTGCGGACCCGCGTGCCAGCTGCCCTTCCCCCCCCTCCAGCTTAGACCCCCTGGGGCTGGCTTTGCTGGGTGCTATCGCTGACGCCCATGCAGGCTCCTAGGACCAAACCTGGGGCCTCAGGCTTGCTAGGTCAGCCTTCCCCACCCCCATACCCCCATCTTGTTGCTGTGACTTTTCTGGCTGTGCCATGCTCCTGGGTGGCCTGGAGCCCCTCCCCTAGTAGAGGCACTGACTCCCGGGTGGGGGGCAGAAGAGCCTGTCTGAGGACTGAACCCTCATTGATACCCATGGGGTCCCAAACAGTGAGAGCTGGGGCCATTCCTGGGGTCTCAGTGCTAGGACCAAAGATGCAGAGCTGGGGATGAAGTGGGCTGGACATTCACCCTTGGCCTGTGCTCTTGACCCAGCCTGAGACACACCTGTGATTATTATTTGGGTTTTTTTAGGGGGGCCATACCCTGCTGCGCTCAAAGCTTACTTCTGGCTCTGAACTTAGGGATGACTCCTATGGTACTTGGGGGACCATACAGGGATGTTGGGGATCAAACCTAGGAGGGGCTGTGTGCAAGGCAAACCCCTTCCCCCACTGTCCTATCACTCTACCCAGTTTTTATTTTATTTTGAGGGGCGGGAACACCCAGCAATGCTCAGGGCTTACTCCTGGCTCTACACTCAGGGGTCACTCCTGGCAGTGCTCGAGGAACCATATGGGATGCCGGGAATCAAACCCGGTCAGCTGCATTCAAGGCAAGTGCCCTCCTTGCTGTGCTATTGCTCCAGCCGCTGTTTTTCTTTCATTAAAAAAAAATTGTATGTATGTTTTATTTAGAGGCCGTCCCCAGTGGGCACATGCCTGGAGTTGGTGTTGGGGTGCTGGGGGTGAGTTAATCAGACCTGGGCCCCTCCATGCAAATCCGACCTCCAGTTGGGTTTTGTTGGGTGGGTTTGGTTTTGGTTTCAGGTTGTCGGGCCTGCACCTGTCAGTGCTCAGGGACTATTCCTGGCTCTGTCTCAGGAATGATCCCTGGTGACACTCAGGAGACCCTATGCAGTGCTGGGGACTGGAACCAGGGTCAGTGCTGCCCTTGTCCCATCTCCTGGGCCTAGAGCACATGTATGAAGAAGACACCGAGATCTTGGCCCCCATGGACAGGCATCTGTGGCAGCTGTGCCCTGTCTGCTCTTCAGCTTTTGCTCTTGATTGCAAGTGTTTATTTTGTTTTTTGCTTTTTTTTTTGCTTTTTCCAGTTCTCATTTTTTGCACATTCAAAAGCACAGCCATGAAACTGTGTCCAACAGCCCCTGCCAAACTGCAGCCAGGAGCTCTCAGGCCAGCTTGAGGGGCCTGGGGGCACCGCCAGTGAGTCCCCCAGAGTAACAGGCTTGGCTAGGTGGGCCAGATGTGTGGGAGTTGGCAGGG